AGGGTTTAGGGCTTAGGGCTTAGATTGATGTTGTTTTAGTAGTCTTGCTGTAGATGCTTGGCTTAAGGTATAGTTTGTTTTCTTGAGCGCCTTTTTCCATCAGGGTAGAGGGTTTAGGGCCGAGGGCTTATATTCATGGGGTTTAAGTAGATTTGAAGCGTCCATGGTTCAGGGTGGTTTGGGCGAAGGGATGTAGAGCTGTGGATTAGGGTACGGGGCATAGGCTACTTGGGGGTGTGAGGATGTAGAGCGGCAATATTTTCGCAGCGGAGATCGGTTCCCCAAAATAACACCGCAAGGCCTTACCTAAATTCCCTAAACCCTAGGGTTTAGGGTTTAGGGTTTAGGGTTTAGGGTTTAGGGTTACCGCAAACCCTGAACTTTAAACCCTAAACCTTAAACCCTGAACCTGAACCATATTAACCTAGGCCCAGAATTCGGGATGCTTGAAGGCCTGGACACCGCAAGCAAAAGAAAAGGATGAGTATGGTGCTTTGGTAATATACCTAGACCATCGAATCCAGTACCTTTTATTGGATGACGTATTTTGTGGCTAGGATCCTGTGGTAAGAGACTAGGGTAACCAACAACAGGACTACATTTAAGGGCCTAGGCATTGTTGTATCATCTATATACTCAGGAACGCGAGGAATAGTTCCTGTATGTTGCGGAACCTCAAGGAACCGCCTTGGCAGCTGCTCAGTCAAGCGATGGTACTAATACTTGGTTTCTTTTGTGTCTCCGGGCTTGGAGCAGCTTGCAAATCAAATCTGGAAGCCTACTGTACTACTGGAGCTTTCTCTTCGGGACTTAGGGTTTGGGAGTTTAAGCGCTTAGGGGTTTAGGGGTTTCGGTTTAGGGGTTTCGAGTTTTGGGTTTTGGACGTAGACTTTAGGATTTTGGGGTCGGGGCTTTGGTCTTACGGCCAGGCATTGACAAGGCTAAAACGGCCAGGCATGGACAAGGCTAAATTTAATGTAGCGGCCTTAATAGTTAAAATGGGGTTTTGGGGGTTCCTTAATATAATTATAGTATAATATACCCCCCCCCCCCCCAAGTATTAAGGCCCCTATATTGCAACCTGAATAGCGAAGCTCCCTTCAGCCTAACTCGCACAAACGACGGCATCGGCAGGCTCAGTAGAACGTCGAAGCCCCGAGCAATCGCAATGACGGCAGCAAAACGTTTACAGTGCAATAAAGGATAAGAGCTCCATTCGCAGAAGTGGCATCGTCAATGGGAACAGTTTGTCGACAAGTCATAAAACTGTGCAAGTGTTACGACACTGTCTTGGAAAATACATGGAACCTAATCCCTAAACCTCGTGGGGACCGCAACCTTCGAAAGCCGCTCGCATAATAGTAGCACTCATTGCACGGACTTTCCGTAGAGGATGCCTTTGATGCAGCAAACCTATACAAATAAAAACTAAAGCCCATCAAACGCCGAAAGCCCCACAACCCTAAACCCCCATAGAGCCCTTCACCCTGGTTTAAGATCCCAGCATCGTCAATCTCAGTGCACTGCCGCGAGAAGACCTCCGGGTCAACTAACGTATCTGGGTCCGACTTCCTGCCGCAGGGGAAAGGCTTCCGACAGCAGGTTGAGGGGGTTGAGGGTTTAGGGTTTAGGGGGTTTAGGGCTGAGGGTTTAGGGCTTAGGGGGTTTAGGTTTAGGGTTTAGGGTTTAAGGGCTTAGGGTTTAGGGTTTAGGGTTAAGTAGGTCCGAAGAGCGCGAGAGCACAACACCGCTGAACCCGGAAGAATCCAATCTCTCGACGAGGCAACCATGTTAAAGTAAGAAAATGCGCCTTATGCATTTAGTGCTACTAGGCTTTCTTAAGCTCTTCATTCTTTATTTGGGTTCTAGTACTAATTGAAGGCATATCTTTCAAGTAAGGGGCTTTGGAGTCTCTGGGTTCGACAGGTAGGGGGTCGGGTTCTCTTCAGGCCTTCGCACGAGTTATAGGGCTTCGGGGGTTTAGGGTTTAGGGGGTTTAGGGCTTAGGGTTTCTTGGGGTTTAGGGTTTAGGGTTTAGGGGGTTCAGGGTTTAGGGTTTAGGGTGTTTGGGCAGACGATCATGCATGGAAAAGCCGCGTAGCGGGAGAATGTGACCCCATATTCAAGAGCTCTTCTCTTTGGGCTTGTGTAGCTTGACAGTTTTAGGCTCACCACTACTCTAGAAACCGTAAAACCTGAACACAACCAACCCTACACCCTGAACAACCCTACAGCTAGACAAAACCCTTGTTTTAACTTACCCTAGCCCCCCAGGTACCTACTATATAGGGTACTGGAGCCCCTGGGGCCCTATATAGTAGGTACCTGGAGGGTTAGGGTTACACAGCCCTAACCCCTTAGTGCAGCCCTGAACTTGGCAATGCCGACACCAGATCCCTTCCTCCCGAAACTCCCTAAACCCCTTGCAGCTGATCGTCCTGGAGATGTTTGAGTATACCTTGGTGGGGTTTAGGGCTTAGGGTTTAGGGTTTACAGTAGAGTTTAGTGTTTAGGGTTTAGGGCTTTCGGTTTAGGCGGAAGAAAGTTGAGCATAGCTTAGTAGCGTTTATGGTTTAGGGTTTTAGTCGGAAGCAAGGGATGGGCAAATAGTATCTGGAAGGCATAGTTGGTAAGAGTATCTTCTCATGGTCCCTGTAATTACACCCTACTTTAACCCGAAGCCTATTCTAATTTGTGCTGCCCCTGAGCTAGACGAGTGGGTTGGATGCAAATCCGGCAGTTGGCGTTTAGGACTTCGGGACAGGAGTCGCTACGCGTTGTGGCTATAATGCTATAGCACAAGTTGCAGCAAGAATACCAAAAGCTCGGACATTACAACAAGGTTGGACCAGGGTGTTTAGACGACAAGGAACCCAATACAGACTTTAAGTAGAGGATCTTGAACATAAGACCCTAAACCCTAAACCCACGCAAATATGGCCGCCTACTTCCCGCTTGCGACAAGGCTTTTTCTACGTGCAGGTCTGCAAGCCTTGCAGAAGGGTTTAGGGCTTAGGGATTGGGGTCTAAGGTTAAGTGTTTAGGGTTTAGGATCTGGAACAACAACTACAGTTGCCATAAACATCTGGAAGAAACAACTACAGTTGACACATACTAATGCTAAGTATCACACCCTTCGCAAAATATCGCTCCAAGCTGACAAATACACGTTAAGCCCTAACAACTCTTTCTGAAGAAGTCTTCTTAACTTTCTAGGCTCAATCAAACAAAACACAAGTTCATCAACATCACACAACCAACCACATATATTACACGAGCCTACCTTCTTCCTATCAGTATTCAATACCAGGGCACGGAAACCTGCTTGTGAAATCCATCGAGTTCCAATGCGTCCGCCATGGGCGCTTTGTCCGAAGGCTTAAACGCTCGGCCGAGGATCCCTATATGGTTTGCTTACACATGTTTCTAGGGGCTTAGGGTTTAGGTTTCGGATCGGGGTTTACGGACTCGGTACTGAATATCCCTCAGGTTGGGGTTTAGGCACATTCAAGGTTTCGGGGTGCAAAAAAAACACGAAGGTCTCGAGTCCAAGCCATGGACTGCTTGTGGGTGGGAGCTTTAGTTACTTGGTGCCCGAATGAATTTTTCAAAAACAGCAGATCGCAGCAAAAAGTTATCCTAAACTCAAGCCTGAAGCCCGCAACATGTTGCTATGGTTCCGGCCTTTGGATCCACCCTAAACCCTAAACCCAAATCCCCAAATAATCGACGCTTCCAAGCCGACTGTACTTCCACAGTCCGTCGACTTTGGGGCAAACGGCCGCGGCAGACGGGGTCCAGGTTCTTAATGGGTTTAGGGTTTAGGGTTTAAGGTCTAGGGTGCAGGTTCTTAAGCTCAAGGCTTTGGGGTTGAAATGCTACGGCATAGGGCTCTAAGGATTAACCTCATATCACAAATAAGAAGCCCGCAAGAACTTTAACCCTAAACCCTAAACCCTAAAAAGGTAGGTTTGATAGGGTCTAGGTACGGTTTATGGCTTGGGGCTCCTAAGTTTCGGGGCTATGGGGCTTGAGACTTCTATAGGGCTTTAGAGCTTCGGGTTTAGCACCCCTTTAGGGTTTAGGGTTTAGGGTTTAGGGTTTAGGGTTTAGGGTTCAGGGTTTAGGGACCCTAAACCCTTGTGAGGTTTCATGCTCCCTGCTTCGGTGTTCAGGCTCAGGCAATGCTTTAGGGCTTTACGATTTGAAGCTTTAGGGTCGTAGGTTATGCCTATAGCTTCCTATCGAAGCACTCCTATAGCTTCATATATAGGTTGCCCGCGGGGTTCTATACAGGGCTTGGGGCTTCATGGCTCTAAAGTTTAGCACAAACCTAGGTTTAAGCTTGAAGGAAACCCTAAAGCGTAAACCCTCAACCGTAGAATTCATATCTTCTGCACTTGACCAGCCCAGTCGGGAAAAGGGTTCAGGGAATGACAACAGACCCGAACCATGGGGTTTTGAGAGTGTAGGAAGGACACAGCTCTGTAAAGTTGAACCCCTAAAACCTAAATCCCAAATCCTAAGCCAAACCCCAATTCCTAAATCCATGAAATAGAGCCTGTGCGGTGTAGGAAAAATTCTCTTGGCTTCGGATCGATGCCAGCGCTGGTTGAGGGTTCAGAGTCAAGCATAAGAGACAGTAAAAGGCTTAGAGTCTGGCGTTTATACTGCTTGGGGGGTTGAGGGTGTTGGGGTCTAGGGTTTAAGGCCACCAAGTGTTCAAAGCTGAATGCAGGAGGGGTGTATAGAGCTGGAGCGCTAAGGTTTAGCGGTCACACACCTCGCACAAGCGAAAGTATATGATCCTTGGAGATGAGCTCTAGCTAGGGCTTAGGGTTAGAGCTACAAGGGGTAGCCTATTGAGGATTTGGGTTTACCGGGTATATTTATAGTACGATGTTATACCTTAGTTAGGGGCTGAGGTTAGAGTTATAAGGGGTATCCGACTGGGGATTTTCGTTTAGGGTTGTCGGGTATACATGATGACACTATGCTGATGTAGGGACTACAAAGGGATATCCACGCTAGTCCACCGCTGAATCTCGCAACCAAATGTGACAGAATCCGAACCCGGCCTCCAGACGTCAAGAAACGCCCCACAATGGGCCCCAAGCCCCTAAGACCCTAAACGTGCACTCCTGAATCCACTTTAAGCCCTACACTCTGCACAACATATTGAATGGTACGACCCTGCGACCCACTGCTACAATGCAGGTCCGGCGTTTATTTAGGGTGCGGGGCTAAGCCTAGTCACCACACCTACCCGATTTTATAGCCTCCATACCCACTAAGGACCATAAGGGGCTCTGTTTGAGGATGTACCCACCTAAACCATACACCCCAAAAAGACCCCAAACACTGATATAAAGGGTCCGGGAAGATCTTGGCCCTCTTCTCTTGGCATTTCAAACCCCTAAGCCGTTTGTGCAGGGTTCTGCGGATAATATGTCTTCTGCAACTCCGTTCGGCCTCGAAGAGGTTTCTACAAGGGCTCTAGAAGATACAATTATGGGGTTTAGGGTTCAGGGTGACTACGGTCTCTACAAGGTTTCTATATGGGCTCCAGAAGCATGCGTGGGGATACCGGACCAGACTGCCACCCTAAGCCCCGGCGGCCTTGCAACCTGACCACCCCACAAGCAAACCGACGAGCACCGGACGCTCCTAACTGCTAGGGCATAGGCGCAGGGTTTATAAAGTCCATAATATACATTAATATACTGTGGCTTAGGGCCGGCTCAGAATTCGGGGTTAGGGTTAAGGATCTGTAGTGTAGGAGGTTAGCACTCATGGCTTCTAGGACACGGATTCCCCAAAACATGGCAGCCACGTCAACGTCAGCCGCAGATGGTTCTTGTGCCACGGCCCGGAGGTTGAGCCTACATCTTTTTTAATGGAGCTGCAGTAGTCCGTCAGGGTTTAGGGTTTAGGGTTTAGGGTTTAGGGTTTAGGGTTTAGGGTTTGGGGCGCAAGCAGAACGGATGTAGGGTTTAGGGTGCCAGCCCATCTCATTTTATGAAGCGCTCGTTCCATCCAAGCTCAAGGTAATGAAAATTGCACTCTGGCCACCCGATATATTCGAAACCCCTAAACCCTAACCCCGATGAGGAGGGTTTCTGGCGGTGTCGCACCTTGGCTGAAGAGTCAGCTCAGGCTTGGAAAAACGCGACTTAACCTAAACCCTAAAGCCGTGAACATGGATCCCATGATTCCCGAAACCCTATACAGCGAATTAGCCTGACAAAACCTGCTTTCACCCTTGTAACACCCTATAAATCCCATAACTCACTACAAACCCCCGATCAGCCCCATAAAACCCCATCACGCCCGAAACTGGCCCAAAAAACCGTAACTTTGGAAGCCCCAAGCTCAAAAAAGGGGACAGGGCTTTTTGCCCTAAACCCTAAACCCTAACAGGTTGGGCCAAGCTCCAAAAAGGGGACAGGGCCGGCGAGCTATGAGTCGGCGACACGAAGCTTTTCACGGCAAGCCCACCCCTAAACATACATCTTTTAGGGTTTAGGGTTTAGGGTTCAGGGTTTAGGGTTGGGTTTAGAGGGTTTGGGGTTTCGGGTATGTGATAAAGGGGCCTTCACAAATAGAATAGGGGAGAACAGCGTTTTTGTGTGGTATTTTTTGCTATATATTGAATTTGCATTGGCATCTTGAAACCTACGAAGGGTCACCAACAGCGGGTAGCTATGATCAACCCTAAACCCTAAACCGTAAACCTTAAACCCTAAACCCTAAACCCTAAACCCCTAGAGCCTAAACCCTAAACCGTTCTGTAGTAGCCCAAAGCCACCAAGTCAGCCCGAAGCTGCCACCCTTCAGACCGAACTCCAAGTCCCAAACAGTCTTAGTAGATGGGCAGTTCTCTAAATTAGGGTTTAGGGTTTAGCGTTTAGGGTTAAGGTTTTAGGTTTTAGGGTGTAGGGGTTGGGGTTAAGGTTTTAGGTTTTAGGGTTTAGGGTTTAGGGTTTAGGGTCAAGGTTTTAGGTTTTAGGGTTTAGGGTTTAGGGTTTAGTAGTTCTCTAAAGTAGACGAGTCTCTTTTAGGGGTCCTTTGTAGAAGGGTGCCGTACTATTTTCGGGGACTTTTACAAGGGCATGAACTCAGAGAACTATCCATATATGGGTGGTTGTCAAAATTATGGTCCCTTTTGGGGTACCCTAAATAATAGGTGCCGTATTATAATAAGGACCCAAAAAGGGACCATAATTTTGACAACCACCCATATATGTTTCTATGACCCGAAGCCAATGGATGTTAAACGGCAGGGGCTCCCACCCGGTGATCGTGGCCAGAAGCAGGACTGCTGCCACCACGGCCTTTGTGTAAAAGGGTCTGCTTCAAGGACCATGCATGAGACCTAGGACCTAGGACCTAGTAGCAGGCGTATTGTAACTTACGTGTCCAGTATCCTCGGTAACCGTTGGGGCCTACATGGGATTAAAGCACCCAAAAATGGTACTCCATGCTGTTAGGATAAGCACCACGAACTCGAAGTAACTTGCACCCTTACTTGCTGAGTTCCCTAAACCCTGAACCGCAGACCCTAAACCCAAACCCCTAACCCCGTGAAACCTAAACCCTAAACCCCTAAACCCTACAGTCAAAGCCGAAAGGACTCGCAGGGTTCAGGGTTCATGGCTTGAGGTTTAACACTGAACGTTGTATAAAACCCCCAAAACCCTTCTAAACTCCAAACCCCAAACCCTAAATCCTATCCCGTCCTGCCCTACACTGAACCCTAAACCCCGAGGGAACTTTACGGTTCCGGACTGGAGCTCCCTTATGGGTTTCCAAGGCTTTGGGCTTAAGGTTTCGGGGTTCAGGTGTAGGGCTTAGGGTTGAAAGTTTAGGTTTAGGGTTTAGGGGTTTAAGGTTCAGGAGGTTCTGGGTTTCACGACTTAATCCGAGCACTTGATTAATAAGACCCCCCATATTTAAAGAAATTTTTTCGGCAGATTTAGGGCGATCTGTATGTGTTTCCATTACGGTGGGATTTCGTCTGGGGAAAAGGTACCACATTTAAAGAAATTTTTCCGACTGGGCGGTTTGGGTAGGGTTTCAAGCTCTGCACTGCCTCTTCATTTCTAGGGTTTTGAGCTCTGCAGTGGCTCTTCAGGCCTCAAGCTACATGCAGTGGCTC